CACATATATATATATATATATATATATATATATATATATATCCTTTATTGTGTTCAGTGGCTTGTTGGTAGGGCAGCATCTCTGAAGGTCGTAAGTCCCCTCAGATCACGAGTTTGATTCATCAAATCCGAAACTACTAGAAGTTGATTTGTTCTACATTATCAAGATAACCAAAAAAAAAAAAAAAAGGTACTTCAAACTTTTTATGATTGATATGACGCAAACAAAATGAAGTGAAAGATTTTAATAAATTTAAAACTCATTATATTGTTTAAATTCCGTGCATTTCATCGCCTTCATCTGTCGCTCGTTGGTTGTCATCGACCGTCTCTCCCCCTCTTACTCATTACTATTGCCAGCACCATCGACTATAAATGTCGGCATGGGCCAACATTGTCATTGCCATTACTTTGAAATACATTATTTTCATTTTATCTTAAAGTAAATAAAGAAAATGAAATTGCTCATTTATTTTAGACCAAACCAACTCTAAAATATTTCAACAAAAATATATTATTTTTGTATTGCATTAATTTGCATCGCATTCCTTTTTCAACAAACCAAACATCCCTAAATGCATTATATTAAAAAAATATAGTGCATTGCAATCTTTTTGCAAGGGTTTTAAAAATTTAGGTTTTTGGCCAATAAAACACTAATTTCAGTGTAAAATTACAATTTATTTTAATTATTTCCTTGGTTCGTTCTCAAAGTAATTTAGATTCACTAGATTTGCGCGAATTTCAAATATAAAGTTTTATGTAAAGTGTCGTGATTGCCGCCAACAACTTACATGTCGCCCTCTACCACTCCCTATTGGCATCTTGCAATCACCCCCCCATTGACCGACATAAGTCACCACTTGCTCGTCACCACCATCTTCGCCGCCTATTGCTTGCCTTTGACCACCCGTTGCCCGCTTTTAGTGATCGCTAGCTCACACATGGCTATCAATGATCATAGTCACCCACTCACCTAGGTTTTTTTTTTTTTTTAAGGAATTTCACCGTTCAACGAAGTTCTTTTAAAAGTCATGTTCGCTAAACGAAAAATGTCACATGCAACATCCAACAATGAAAAACTGTCATTCTCACGAAACAACTTCGAGAGGCGTTTGGGAGACACATTTCACCAAACGGAAGCTTTTTCATATTTCAGCACTCGCTACAACGAAATGGATCTCCGCCATCTGCCCAAATGAAGCCCTACTCCACAACTGCCAATCGTCCCCCAGCTATCACGATAGGTCACTTGACGCCTATCTATCTCTTCTAGACCTCTTATTGTACATTATCTTTATTTTATTTCAAATGAAATAAAAGAATATGAAGTCATTTATCTGTTTTATTCTTAAATTTTTTCTTTTAAAATTTGAGCAAAATTAATCATAAATATTTTGAGACACGAAATCTTAAATTTAGAATCTCTTAATTACACGAAGTACATCTAGGAAGTTTATTTCTAGGAATATTTACATGCATGCCAACCAATCTATGTGTATTTACATGTATAACTTCTAAAAAATAATAATAATTAAAAAAAAAATAATAATTACTCAATTTTTGGTTCATTAGTTAAAATAAGAAGTGAAATCAAATTATAAATCGAAAATTAAATTTTAATATTTTTAAAATCGAAACTATATATATATTTTTAGATTGAATCGAAATAATAAAATTGACTCTGATTTATTTTTCGATTTAAATCAAATAATGCACAGCCTAAGTTATTCTCAGCCCTACTCGGGCCGACCGCATAGCGCTGCTTGAACCCGTCGGCCCTAGTCGCTGGCTCTCTAAGCGAAAATGGCGGATCGGAAGCGGGACAAGGAGAAGCTCAGAGAGCGCGACACTCGCGATCATCGAGACCGGGAGCGTGAGCGCGATCCTGATCGTGACCGCTTCCGCGACCGAGATCGAGATAGGGACCGGGACCGGGACCGGCGGGGGGGGAGGGGCGACAAGCGGAAACGCTCCCGCTCGCCGGATCGATATCGCCGCCGTTCACCATCTTCGGAGCGCCGCCGCTCTCGTTCCCGCTCAGCTGACAGGTCTCATCGTCGGCATGGTCACCGAAGCCCCCCCCCCCCCCCCCCCCCCCGCCGTAAGCGGCGGCGTGACGGAAGCGACGATGAACGTGAGTCCCGCCGCGCTAAAGGCTCTGACGCAAATCCTGCCAATGGGGTTGCGAAGGATCCGAAGAAGGTGGACCCACCAGTTGGCGGAGGTGATGCAGCAATGGAACTCACTGAGGTTGATAGTGAAGAGATGGAAATGATGAAGATGATGGGGATACCGGTAGGTTTTGACTCAACGAAGGGCAAGCATGTGCCTGGGGCTGGCGTTAGCGGGGTTCGTGCTGTGACTAAGAGGCAGCCGAGGCAGTACATGAATCGAAGGGGTGGCTTTAACCGTCCTTTGCCTTTGGAGCGGAATCGCTAATGATTAGCAGCAAGAGGTTTGGGTTTCTTTTCTTTATATTCCAATTTGGTGCTTGTTTCAACTCTTTAATTATTCGTTTCTTTTTCTTTGTATGTGGAGTTGATGGACTTCATTACTTTCGGTGAACTCAAACTTCTTGATGTTTTGTTGCCGTGTACATTAAAAAATTGCTCCTATTAAATATTGCACTTTAAAATCAGTTAGTATTAGTTGCTTCTATGTTTTAAGGTAGTTGGTTGGAACACACTTTTGAAATTGAGCAAGTGAGAACATGCTTCTATTTATGGTGATCACATTCATAATAATTAGAAATAAATTTTAATCTGAGAGCTTGGAAACCACTTTTAATTCGGGTTTGTATATATATAATGTTAGAATGACATACGCTTAATGGTATTTGAGTTAGAATATTACTTTTACTTAAAATTTTTTCAGAGTTAGATGACGGGAAAGTTTAGATTTACTATAGTCCGAACAAATGCAAGAACTTAGTTCATACGAAGTGAATCTTTGCGAAACAAACAAAGGTCACCAAAACTTAAATTAGTGAAACTCATCTTTGATTGCTTCCAAATAGTTACTTTGAAACAAACAACACCTACGTGTGGGGAAAGATAGATGAGAAGCATATTTTGATTGTGGTTTAGTTTCACTTTGTAAGTGATAAAAAATGTAATCTATATGGAAGGGGAAACATTATTTTTCTATTTTTAATTGAGCTATTATTTTAAGGCAATGCTAGAGGTTAATGTGATTTGTAGAATTTTGGAATGAAAGGAAAAAAAATGCGTAGTTTATTTATTTATTTTTCTTGCATTAATGCGGAGGAGATTACCATGATTTATTTCTAAGTTGGTCTTGAATTGGTATGTCTTAAGAGTTTTTTTTTCATTATTTTAAAGAAAAAATTTTGTTTCTTCATATAATTTTCTTATATGTCACTATATTATCATTGTTGCATTTTTTATTTAAGGTTTTTTTTTTCTCAATATATTCTTACAAATTCTATGGCCATTTTGATCTAATTATGATTCACATTTTACTCTAAAATTTCTGATTATTTTTAGATGCTTATTTAAGTGTCATTTTGCTTTTCAATGTTGTAAAGATGATACATATTAAACAGTGTCAAAATATTAAGAAAGTATTGATTTACATAAAAAGAAGATCAAACTTGTTATTAAATTGATGATGAGCTTTTAACAAATAGCTTTCTTTTGTGATATGTTTTCTTGTATTACACATGTTCTTAGACTTGTTTGTTTTTCTTGAATTAACCAGGGAATGATTTTTGACTACTGGAATCTATAATGTGGGAGTTTCAAAGTAGGGAGAATTTTTTTAGGGTCTTGAGATTCAGGTCCTTTGATACCAGAGAAAGATGATATGTGCATGTCTTTGTTATTGTGTACTATCACAAAATAAGAGGATAAAGAGAGGCATTTTAGTCCAAAAATGTGGACAGGGAATCTTAATTCAATTGTAGTTCATTATTTGATATGATTTACAAGTGTTAAATTCTTTTTTTAAATAAAAATAAGGTTTTATTTAAAATCAAACTTATTTCAAATCTATAAGCCCTAAAAATTCTATGATCTAATTTAAAATAAAGATACTCATAAAAAATAATGCATTTATGACTCAAATAAATACACTCAAATAATCATTGCCTATTAGAATAATCTTGAGCAACTTGATGCATGTCTTGTATTGCATCTAATCTTGTGGAATCGATGCTACTTTTGACGTGTGCAAAAAATGTTTATTGAAGTCTAGTTTCGATGGAGGAGGTTATCGTATTGGTTTATGACTATCTCTTGCATGATTAGCATATGCAAGTTGAATGTAAAAATTTAGAGGGCTTGGATCTAGACATTGCATTACATCATACATCTTTTCATGATTAGAACCAAGGAAAATAGTACAATTGCATGGTATTGTTGATAGTGGTAAAGCACACTTTATCTTTATTTTTTGGCGAGGACTCAGTCACTAGTTTGAAACATGAGGAAGAACCTCTATTTTTGGATGAGAATCATGAACTAGAATTTCTTGGAAGCTATTTCTTCATCTCAATAATAGTAGTGAAATAAGACATCTTAGTTTTAACACATGTTTGGCTTAGAGATGATCTCAGGCACAACCTCAGGTTCCTAATCAACTATATACCTGTATTAAAAGATCATCTGCAGAAATAAACCATCACAATAGTAATTCTCATAAATAAAATTAGCATAGGATCATTGCCATAAGAAAACAAGCATTTATACTGACCTAATCTATCACAAATCTTGAAACTGTTTGCTGAAATTCAATTTTATAATCATTTTTTGCATAAGAATATTATTAAAAAAATGAGTCATTAAGCTTTAGAATTACTAGTTTCGTGTTGGTGATACTTTTTCAGTAGACGTACTGGCAAATCTTAGGTGAGGTTGGTTCTAGTGGAACTTATACTAGAATTTTTTGTTGAATATTCAACTTGAATATTAATGGATGGATGATCAGTTAAATTGTTGATCAGTTGTTTACAAATGAAATTCTGCTTGGTAAATCGACGACGTATCCATTGGATACTTTTTTAGTAGACGTACCGGCAAAACTTAGATGAGGTTGGCTTTAGTGGAACTTATACTAGAATTTTTTGTTGCATATTCCATTTGAATATTAACAGATGGATGATCAGTTAAATTGTTGATTAGTTTACAAATGAAATTCTACTTGGTAAACCGATGACATATCCATTGGTATTGTGATTATTGATGCATATTCTATTGATTATACCTTTGGTTATACTGCTTGTGAGATTATTTACGGCGAAGAATCCACCGGTAACTTGAAACTCCTCGTTCTTTATTTTTCACTGGAAAAACCTATTTTTGCTCTTTTTTTTTACTGGAAACTTGAATTACCACTTTTCTGAACAAATAACCTCTTGTTTGATCTTGGTCATCTCATGAGTTTAATCAACACAAATTTATATCACAATTCATTACAATCAAACATATCACAGACAACACAATTAATTGCAGAAAGTAAACATATGTATTCAATTCATAGGTTCAATCAAGCTTGTGTTAAGTGTTGAAATCAAAATAAACAAATTGCTGAAATTCCAAAAAGAAAAAGCAAAAATTAGTTGTTTCTTTTCTCTCCTCTTCAACACTCTACTTTTTTTCCATCACACACACAGAAACTCCTCGCTCTCTCCCCCTCTCTCTCTCCCCCTCTCTCTCCTCCCCCTCTCTCTCTTCCTTCAGCTTTCCTGCATCAACAAAATCAAATTTCATTGTAGGGAAGCAGTTGAACTTCAATATTTTGCATAGCTTTGACTTTATTGTATTTCCTTCAATCTTATGAGGTCTTATAAGAAAATAGTAACCATGCAAAAAATATGAGAATTACCATATACATTATGAAACCGTTTATATATACATAAACCCTCTTGAGATCTATTATTCACCACTTCATGCATTGTTGGTTCTGATGTGCAAGTATGGAGCTCTACTGAGATCGCTTCTTTATCCAAATAACCAATGATAAAGATACTGTAAATTTATTCTGAAATAAAAGAGTTAATTTTATACTAATTGTGTACTATTTGCAAGCTAATTTTTTTGCAGTACTTCACCCTGATAGTGTTGATTCCACTTGACATTTTTTTCAAACTATTAAGGTTGCCATTCTGAATCCTCATTTTTTAGTCATAACTCTTAAAATATGGTCTGAGGTATTAAATTGACTCTTTAATAAACATTTTCGTACAACTTCTATCTATATAACAGCAGGTTTATCCCTTCTCTTTTCTAATTCTCTTACACATATTTCATTGATTTGCCAAATGAGCACATTTTTTATCCTCCGTTGTGTATGCCTACACCAACTAAACTTATTTTCATTTATGTTGTCGTCAATGTATCTTACTCTAGCGTTATTGTCTGATTTAAACATTCCTTAATTTATGCATTCTAGATTTGCCCCTCTTCCATATTAACTTTTTTATTTGTCACAGTGAATTTGAATAGCAATCACAAATGAGATATTTATGGTATTCTTCAAACACATATCAGCAAGTAGATTTTATGTACTGTGACCGACAAACATGAGTGCAGAGAATTTGATTGGTTATATCTACTAAAACCATCAGCATATGTCTTCCTAACAAATACTTGATTGGTTATATCTAATGTGACTATTAGCATATGGCTTTCTAACAAGCTTAAGATCTTTGTGATCAAAATAATTCTATACCTTTGCATGTGATAAATCAGTCATCTGGTTTTCGGTTGGTTTTGTGATACCATTTGATGTGCTTAACATAAGAGAACTTCTTCAATCATGGTTCAAAGAGGCAAGCAATGCAATTTCTTAAAAAATCTTCTTTTGCTTGCTTCTTAGTTACGCCATTCTTGTAACAGCAGACATTAATTATTAAATTAATTTAGGGGCATCTTCATACATACCACAATTCTTATATATCTACATATCTGACATTTAAACTTAGATTTTTACATTTATAACCCAAATATTTCATATCACATCAAAATTACCTCTATTATTAACTTCTAAAAGTGAAACACACGTTTTCAGACATAAGTGTTATGGATGTAAAATATAAAGTTTAGGTGTTAGATATGTAAATGTATAGGAATTATGTGATATACTTTTAAATCTTCCTTTAATCATGCTTTGTGTTTTTAAGCCTAATTTGAGCATCACCTTTTTGGTCTTATAGAAGTCAGTAGGTGCAAGGGTATTAGTTGGGTTAGTTTCCTTTTGGTAGCTTTATGGATATTATAATCAAATTTAATGCTTAGCTTTCGAATTGCATTGGATAATTCAAATAGTTTTTTTGTTATTCTTGCTATAAAATTTGTCTGAGTTGGATTCAATGTTTAATGACATTGTTAAGCGTCTCTATTAGAAGAGGTTCTTCAATAATTACCTGATGAACAATTAGCTCAATATGCTAGTGAACAGAATCAAATATCATATTTTGAAATCTATAGGCTTGCTCATCATCTAACAACATGAGTGATTGAAACATCATTGTTTACGTTGACATTATCATATTTTAGTCTCATTTTTATGTTCCGTAAACCTATCTTGTAAAAATCCAGCCCAAATTAGTTTTTTTAAAACCCTCAAGTTTTTTTTTTTTTCACTTAAACAAAGTCATTTAAGTTTTCTTTTGTAATAAATATGTTTTGGACCTATAATTAAAATAAACATCTGAACTCCTCTTTGAATTTCATTTGTTAAACTTCTTTATGCTGGGAGAAGTTTAATATAAATCCAAGGCCAGTGAACCTTAATTTCCATGTTCTGTGATTATAAGAAATATTATAAATGACTCCAACTATCAATACATGAACAAACATACAATTATAAGCAATATGACCTAAATTAATTACCAATCCAAAACACTTAAATCAATCAATCATATCAATTATAAGTTTTGTATGTCAAGTGCGAGATACCGGTTATTGGTTTATTTACATAATAATTTTTCATGCATAACCATGGTAAATTCATTGTTCATTATTTATACTCTTGAATTGAGTAGAATTCTGATGGCTATTATGAAATTTGCAATTTAAGAAGCACACACTTCATTTGTTAGAAGTTGTTCTTGATTATTCCGGCCAAAATGTTAGAAAATTGGATTGAATTAATTGGTATGATCGCTTAGGTCATAACTTGATTAGCATAACCCTTATGCTGGTCACATAGTTCTAGTGCACGAAGAGAATTTGTTTAAGATCTATTTAGAAGAAACATTTTATATCATCTAAATTGTATAACATAGAGCCACCAAATCATCAGTGTTGCATGTCGGAAGGTTTGTGACGGTAGAGTGATAATTTTACATCTCATCGTTGAATGAAAATCTAACACAAATAATAAAAAAGGAGGAACCACTAAGATTTTTTACTTCGAAAAAATTCTGAAAAAGAAAAAATCACGGAGCTTGACCCAATAAAAGTAATCCACTATATGATTGTAAATACATGGATTCACTCTTTTCCTAAATTAGAGAATGTGAAATTAAAATGCTAATAATTATATGTGCATAATACTAATTCATCTTTAATAGCGATGATTGAGCTTCAAATGTATTTTTCACGATAATAGTGATAGCGGGCCACAACGACCTTTGTTTGTTGCTATAAAAGCAGTAGTTAATCATTAAGGTTATAGTCGATGGTTGCAATAGCGTCAGTTGACTACAAATGTCATAGTTGGAGACTACAATAATGTTAGTTGGGCATGGAGGCTATAGTTAAAAGTTGTAAGAGCAAATGATCACATAGCCGTAGTTGGTCACATAAGTCGTGGT